TCATTCTAGAATGAAAGAGGGATAATTTATATATTTCCTAATTTTTTATGATGGTTACGAGATCAGTCAAATCTACCGACCCGTACAGAGATTAATTACTGAAAATAACTGATAAAATATATAGTTTTTTCTTAAGAAACAGTTCATAACTATCTGGACATTATAAAGATTTTGCATCTGAAATTTGAAAATTTTCTACTGCATAAAAGTATTTTTAATCTTAAAATGAAAATTACTTTTAATGATGGATAGGCAACATGAGAAAAGAAAAAAAAAGGCACGAGTTAAACATTGTTTTACAAACTTTAAGACTTAATAAAGAAATTAAATATTGTGCAGATGAAAGCATTGTAATGTTTGCTGATAAATTGCCAAATTTTGTTAACATACGCTTACTAATTTAAAAGTTATAGCATGAGAACTATAACAAGCACAAAATGGTTACGAGTTCGATCCCTGGGACTGAGCCCTTGCTGAAAGAAATAAAGGCTACTGTATAATCTTGAAAATGTTATTTCAGTGGAACTCTAGGCAGAGCAGACATAGTACGTTTGAGAACTCTAATGGATTGTAACTACCTGTTGATAGAAAAGAAAATGTTTCAGTTTATATAGTGAGGCCTTCTTCATGTCTTGAAATTGCTTTTCTAAATTATGCATGTAATATTTCAGTATTAATTTAATTCAGATATGTTTTGTATATTGATTTTAATTAGAGCAATTTGTTTTTTATTGTCAGTATACCATATTTTTATTCTGCTTTGTTTTCAAAGATGCATGATTGAAATAGCTAGCTACACATTGATACAGGTATTTGGTTGGTGCCATGATTTATATTTTAATCACCTAAAAGGAAGGAACATGTTATTAAAGGCTTCTTTTACAAGTTGTATCTCATTTAGGCATACTGTTTTATACACTATGCTTCTCTGTTTTTAATAATTATGAACATACTTTGAAACACCACCACATCACAATCAGCTAATGAATGTTCAACAAAGTTGAATTATCTTTAGATCTTGGATTACTGTGTTTATTTATGTTCTACTAGTCTTCTTATAGTGGAACCAATTTAAGTGTCTTCACAAATTGGGCAACTGAATTCATAAATTACATAGAAATGGATGAATCTTATGTTTAATTGAGAAAAATATTTGAATCCAAGTAGAAGGTTTAAACACACATTTTAGCTCAGTTTGTGGATGAATTATTCTTACAATGGAATTCAATTCATTTTCAAAACAGATGCTAAATTATTTAGTTCTTGTCAGATAATGAGTTGTTTTGTCAAGTTTAAATATTTAGAAAATAGAAAAACAACTTTCCGATTCTTCTCAATTAAACTTTGATCTCCCAGAATTGCTAGTGTCCATAAATACTATGTGTATTGGTGTCCTTTCTAGTCAAAAACAAAAAGAAATTAAATGCCATTATAAGAAGAATTTATCACAAGTTGAACTAAAATCTGTTTTAACCTTCCATTTTGATTTAAAAAATGTTTACAATTTGTCTTCTTCAGTGGTTTTGTGTGATTTATGAACTTCACTAGCATATAGCCCCTCAAAAATGAATGGGGCAAGTACTACCACCCCATACTATACCCTAACCTCACATTTCAGGGCTAACTGAAATAAATAAATTTTGCAAAATAAAGCTTTATCAACTAAGAGGCAGAAAAGTGCAGTTGAGGCAGTCAAATGTTGCTAAATTCTTTTGTGAGCCAATCAAGATTAAAATCATTCATGAAATGAATTCTAGGCATATCTAACCTATATAAAAGCCAGTGTTTAATTAGTTGATTACTTTCATGAGTCATGACACTAATTGATTAAGCTGAACAACCTTGAATCAACCAAAAATAATAACAAGAAATCAAATGGCAATATTTAGATTAGTTGCAATAATAGGAAACAGTAATAATCAGAAACAATTTTGATTAGTTGATTATTTCTAGACATTAATTGTTATTGCGTGATACTAATGAATTTAATAAGTGCTCATAGGTAATCTAGTTAACTGCCCAGCTCCAATTTTTCTTATTAAAAGGTAAAGACATACAACTACTGTACTGCCTAGAATCAGCTACATGTACTATACAAAAACAAGTAATTGGAATTCTTACCTTGAATGTAATAAAATTTGTATATTATACTGAACTCCACTGTTAAGTATAGATGTATATGCCAAAAATGACTTCAGTCCTATTTATCTGTCACAAAACAATAAAGGTGATGCACTGATTCAAAAATTAACATTAATTTGTGTGTAATTTTAAAACATTATACAGTTAAAATCAGCAGTAAACACGAATATATATATACAGTACACTAAATGTTCAGTTGTTTTAGCTTTTATTTTTAATTAAAGTTCAGCATTGTTAATTTGGTTTAATTGTTCCTCTTTCATAGATATCCCTCTGTGCAAAAACAACCTGCTCATAATGCTAAAAATGCCTCATTTAGTATCCACAGAGTTAAACTATTATGCTGCATTTAGTTAGATATTAGATAAACTAAATGTAGTATTCCTCTCATTTAGTAGGAAGATTGCATTGTGAACATTATAATTACATTATATAGGCATTGTATGTGTAATTTGCTTCAATAATTTTAGTCAGCTAGATGGAATCTACCCAACCCAGATCCATAGGGTAACAGATATGGCAGTACTGGGCTAATTTCATGATTTCAGTGCAAGTAGAAGAGATCAGAAACACAATCTTGATGGGATGGGTTCAACAGAAGCTAGTCTCAGTAGGATGGTAGAGATAACGTTAAACTTGTTAAATTAAGCAGAACTTAAGGGTAACTTTAGATATTATCTTGAAGGTGGGTTGTGTGAAAGAGATAGAAATTCATATATAAGTGGTAAAGTTGGGTAATATTGGGAAACTGTAGCAGTACATCTACAAGTGAAACAACAGATGAACTTAGAAGACTGAAATGGATTGTCATAAAATTTAAACATTACATTTGTAAGAAGAAAATTAAGGAATATTGGAGAATTGTAGCAGTACACAAGTAAAATAAAGATCAAATGTTACAGGTCTATAACATGTCATATGTGAAAAAATGAAGGGGAATGTCAGAATTCTATAAAAAATACATGTTTAAGAGAAAATAAAAACAAAATTGTTTTAGCTCTTGTGGCAAAACAAATGGCATATGTTGGAGAACTGTCAGAGCTGAAAAATATTTAATGTTGGGGTGTCTTATGTAGCATATGCTTGTGAAAACACCAAATGTCAGATACTTGTGATAGAAATTAAATGTTGGGAAAATGTAGCTGTGCTTGAGAAGTATAGAATGCAAGAGTATAGAAATACACCCGTGAAAAAAAAGAAACGGAATGTCAGAATGCTATAACTGTGCATGATGGAGTGGTAAAAATGAGCAATGTAAGATAATTAACTGTACATTACTGTGAAATAAACAGAGAAAATGTCAGAAATTTCTACTTCGAGCATCTTACATATGAGGCAAGAAAGGGAATGCTAAAGCTTTGTAACAGTGTTAGGATAAAGTAGTAGAGAAAAAAAAGTTGAATATCAGATAACTGAAGTAGCAGTATGTGTAGAAGGGAATGAAACTGTATTTGCTGGAATATGTGAAATCTTATACAAGTGCTGATTTTAAAGAAATTGCATGGAGGTAAATTTATTTTATGTGTGAACTTTCTACATGTGCAAGGTTTAGAAATGACAGACAACATCAGAGTTATGAATATATAAATTTATTACCACACTTTTACAATTTGTGTAATTAGGTCTGTGACTGATCTCTTCATGGAGGTATGAAAAGTTATTTTATGTGTGAATTTACTACATGTGCAAAGTTTTGGAATGACAGACAATATCAGAGTCATGAATATATATAAATTTATTACCCCACACTTACAATTTGTGTAATTAAGACTGCGACTGATCTCCTCATCGGCTGCTGATACCAATCTGATCTAAGTAGTCCTCTGATGTTTATCCAGTCAGATTTTTGAGAAGATCAGATCAGTAAGTTTGTTTACCTATGAAAATATTCAATACATTCAGGTACTTTCTCCTGATATATATTAACTGCTTCCTTTATTTATTTTTTTTGTTACAAAGATACATTTATTTTCAACATGGTTTTATTTGCCATAAAATATCGTGGCATCACTTGAAAAGTGCTTTTATTTCTGGTATTCATAATGATTACTAGGTTCAACCTTCTCTTCCTGTTTTCATTGCAGGTATGTTTCACTGAAGAAATACTAAATGGACATGACTTAAAACATTTTGTCTTTGACTAAGGTCCTTAGGTTAACATTCCATTTTTTTTTCCTTTTCATGTTTTGATAAGTGCATGCTTTATCTGAAGACAAGTTTTGAAGCTTGATGCACTCCACTAATATATACATACATTATGAATGTCTGGATGTGTGGAATGCAGATTGTCAAAATATGATCTCGATATTGGCCAATGTTGAGCACATTGGGACCAATCCGATATTTCACTCAGGTCACAGGCTTATGTATAATACAAACTTTTTATCATATTGGTAGTTTAGCAGAATGATTTGTATAGTGTAATGAATGACTAAGTTTGTTGGAGATCTTTATATGTGTTTGCATTCATTTAATGCCCAATTTCAGTTAACGTGTTGTTAAAGCTACAGATGCACTAGTTACATAATTTATTGTCCATTATCATATTTTTTCTAATGGAAATATTTAAAACATGAATTTCCAACTTTCTCTCCTTTAGCATTGCAAGAAATATTCAGAAACACCAACGTCTCATCACATTAGTAGAAAATATTACAAGTTGTAAACCTGGACATCAAGTCCGTGATGTAGACATCCCTTATTTGATTCGGAACTTGTACCACTTTGCAGGTTGGCCTTTGATCTCCACAAACCTGGATGATTGTTGGAAGCCATTTGGTAAGGTTTTTCTGTTGTTTTGCAGTGTGCTTGCATGTTTAATTACAAAAAATATCTGGTATTATTATTATTATCTACCTTTTTACAAGCTTTTATGGGTGTATAATATGACATTAAGTTCTCACTTGGATATAACAGATGTTTCTCAGTCTCACTTCACATGTAGCATCATGTCAAACTATAGCTGATCAGAACTCAATTTCATACTATATATATATACATATATACAAAATTATCAGCTCTTAATACATTACTATTTTGTATAAATATACGTAAAATTACTTTATTTAACTTAACCATGGATCTAATAATTTAGTAAGCCATAATTTACGAACAAACTGTTCATATTAGCTGTGATCTAAATGATTTTTTGTTAATCAACATTACTTGAGTTGAAAAATTAAAAAACTTTAGCTTTATTAAAAAATGATAATAAAAATGTTACTTTGAGAAAGAAGAAAAGAAAATAAAGTTAAGGTTCTAGTACATAGCATTGTTGTAGTCAAGACCTCAGTGTCTGAGATCAAGACCTAGACCTGAGGTTTCGAGACTGAAACTGAGACCTTAGGGGTTGAGACTATGACTGATATCTTGTAATAAATTACACAATGAAAAATATAGCAAGAAGGATAGAAATCACATCATTCAAACAAACTATCAACATCTTAAAGTGCAAATCTTTTAAAGGTTAATCCCACAAGTAAAACAATAAAAACTGTTGTTGTTTTTCAAGAGTTTATGGTGTAAGTAAATTCTTTATGATCGTTGAAGCCAAACAGGATCACAGCAGATCTACTGTATTTGCCCAAATATAATGCACACCCAATTTTGAAAGTTTAAATTAAAGAACATTTTTTTTTACACATCAGTTGTATAAAATGTATTGCATAGTTTCTAAATACAGTAAACAACTATCAATGTATTAAACATTTTTGGAAATCTTTCATTGAACATTTTTTTACATGTCAATTTTACAAAATTTATTGAAAAGTTTATACGTGGTAATACACTAAGCTAATCATTCACTTTCATATAAATCTTCATCATTGTTAGAATTGTGACTACCATTGGATTCATCAGATGTACTTCCTTGAACCTCTGCTTCATCCTCTTCTAATTTCCACAGCATGTCATCATCTGTCCCATCCATTGCATTGGATATGCAACATTCTTTGAAACCTTTAATGATGTTTAATTGATTTTCAGTGGTAGATTCTAGTAAAATACCTAACAAAATTAAGTGTTCATGAATATAATGCATAGTAAATTTTTTTGGGAGGTGTTTGGAGGAAAAAAGTGTGCATCATATTCGAGTAAATACGGTACTAGACATGTTTAATATCAGGGATAATGGCTAACGTGTAACATATAAATATGTACACCAGATGAAGTTCGTACAAATTTGTAGTAAGCCTATGCGTAATGCAATGTATAGTAGCAATTATTTTTAACTGCGGATTGATGTACAGGTAATGTGACAGTTGATGATGTAAGCAAAAATAAGGGAGGTGCTATAAACATCATTACAAAGGTATAGTACCAACTACCTAAGGGTTTTACTGGTAAAACATCTTTGATGCTCTACTGTGTTTCATATGAACTGCTGTGTAATTGATATTTTGTGCTTAATAATACTGGGTAGGTCTAAATACTGGTAAAGCTTATAAATTTAGCCGATCTTGTCTTCTAGACCTGAAAAACATCGAGACCCAAATGGTCCATGACAGAGACCTTCCAAAGGGTGGTCCCATGTCCATAGTACATAATTTCTATATGTAATACCTGTCACTATTTGGTATAAGAAATGATATGGTCTATGTAGTTTTGTGCAAATTATCATTAGTAAACTAGGAAAAGGATTCGTGTGCTATTTGCATACTTATATATGGCAAGCACAAAAAAGTGTTTACGCTATTTAGTTGTACACTTAGAATTAACATCTGCAATAGGTTTTCTACATTTTGATATAGAATAGAGCTGGGCAATCAGTGGTATTTTTAACTGACTAATCGATGGCCTCATTATTTGATAAACCGAATCTGCTTAAGGTCAATCCATTGGACCGGCCCAGTATTGGAGAAGGAATGTCGGTTATATCTCCAAATTTACTATGTATGTCTCTATGAAATGTGGCAAGCTTTTAGTCAAATGTACAAGTCTGTTGTAAACATAAATTAAATGTTACAAACATATTCATACTCAAGATTTGTCTGTGTGTAAGGTGATATTCATGTGATGAATAAAAATATTTCTATCCATCGTATTGTTTCAATATTGCAGTTGCTTAATCACTGAAACCTCCAAAATGCACATTTTCAGTTTTTTTCAGTATCCCTATATACTGTATGTGATATTTTCTCTTCTCTGCCATGAACTGTCACTAAATCAACAATGTAGGGTAGAATGAATAGTTTATAAATTTGACTTCAAATGTATAATACCATGTTGAATGGCACTCTGTTAAATGGTTCTGGCATGTGCACTTTGACCCTTACGTATGCATGTAGGGTTAAATGATTTGTACAGTGTTCTTCAAACAGTGGTACCTTTGAACAAAAAGTACAGAAGGCAAGTTTTTGGTGGCAATACTTCAATAGCATGGATAGTTGGAATAATCAAAAATAGTAATAATCGTAAACCTTAATTTCAGTTAATTGATTGTTGGAATAACCAAAAATTGTAATAAATGTAAATTCTAATTTTGGTTATTCGATTTAATCATAAGTTTGATTAAAGTTTGTGTGGCACTAACAGATGTAGTTGCTACTCATAGGTAATTGATTAACTTACCCAACTGTAATGTAGAATAAAACTATTTTCAGGGTTTTCCCTTTTGTATAGCTTGACTTTTTTCTTTTAATGTAACATGCAGTAAAAAGAAGGGCCATGTATTCCCCAATATTTTCTTATTTAATGTATCCAGTTTAATGTTACATCTGCATATTTTTATTGTATCAAATCTTTATATGGCTGACCCACAGCTTTATTCTAATTTGAGTGTTATTGTACTTGTAAAACGTTTTGATTAGATATCACTACTTTTTGTTTTTATCAATACTTTAAAATTAATTAAAAGAACATTTGAATTAGGATTCAAACTAACTGTCTAGTTAAGCTCTCAGTATACTGTTAGAATACGAGTCAGACTAAGCAAGTAAGTTATAATTATTGTCAGTTTTGTTTAAATCCTTTACAAATCAAATTTCTAGGTAAGAAATAATTACAATATTATTTATTTTCTTTCAACACTCCTTTTTTATTTTTCATTATTATTGTATTTTGAAATACTTTATATCATAAATCACGTATAACTGTGTGTACTTTCTGAACCTGTTTCTGTTTGCATCAAATACTTTTACCTTATATAATTATACAACACTTGTGTTTATTTCCTTTAGAGGTTACAGGAATAATGATTCACAAAGATTTAAACTCATTGAGTATAATTCCATGGAGAATGGTGGAAGCTCTTGCTGTTGGAAGCAGTGTTGTTGTTTTGGCAAGTCCTGAGTGCTATCTGTCTGCTTTACTCTTTGCTGAAGTTTGTATCTCAGCTGGGTATGTACCATATCTATTTGTAATGAATTTGGATATGAACTTAACTGAGAATCACGATTTACTTAAATATAGATTTAAAAGTTTTGTCTCTCCTTTTATATTTAATCTAAAACCAAAATGACAGTGTTGTCAAACTAAATTTTACAATTAATGTTTAGTGAGGAGTCTACTGGACTAAATAATTAATTAAAAAATACAATGACAACATCTTTTACAGTAGATAAGTTCTGATTTTAATGATTACAACTTTTTGACTAATAGTATCGAGTCATCATCAGTAAAAGTTACATTTGAAAAAAAATTTTCAAATATATTATGGAGGACTGATACACAAATTCATGGTTCTTTAGGTTTACTAAATAAGTACATGTATAATATTGGAAGCTTTTTGTTGTCACTGATGAAATACTAAAAAAACATCAAGTGTTATTTATTAATAATAGCAATAAATGTATTAAAGTTAACATGTTGTGGAACAGCAATATAGAATGAAAATAACCACACAATGCTACCAGAAAATTCAAATCTACACAAGTCTTGAAAATGCAATCCTTAGAAGTCACTGTTTTTTGATACTTCTGATGTTTTGGTGAAGTGCTGTGAACCAAAACCAGGTAGTATATGTAACTTATTAATACTTATTAATATAATGATAAAACAAGTTTCAGTGCAACAGTTAAACAAGTGTTTAGAAGATATATTATTTTTTACTATCAGTGATATAAAGAAAAAGATCTGAGAATGAGAAGATCTTATTTTTCCATGACTTTTTACAAATGAATGAAACAGTGTGAACTGAATGGGTGTGATGATTATTGAATTTATTTAGTTTTTCTCAGAAGCATTAACCAGCATGCACTGAATGATTCATTGTGCTAACAAGTGTGCTTTTAGATTACACTGTTTGTACAGTTTACAACAGTTGGTATTAAAAAAGTGAAGTATTGAAAAGAGCCAAGAAGATGGCAGTGAATGTTTTCATAGCTTAGTTGAATTTTTGATCTACATGTATTATGTCAGATTCTCACCAAGGAATGAGTTTTGGCAGCATAACTCTGAAGATGTAGATATCAGTTTTAAACTTGGATAAAGCTGTTTCATAGAGTAAAAAATATATTGTTTATATTTTTCAGATTACCACCAGGTTTACTTAATGTAATTGCTAGTGATGAACTAGGCTTTGAAAAGTTGTCATCAAGTCCAAATATAGAAAAACTTGTGTTTATTGGATCAACCCAGATGGCAAAATCTATCCGTAAAGTGTCAGCAGGATGTGGGAAAGATCTTTCCCTTCATCTTTGTAGTCGGCCAGTGGTCATTGTGTTTGACTCAGCAGATCAAGACAGTGCTATTGAAGGAGTGATTGAAACTATGATAATTAACAATGGCAAGGTGAGTAAAGTTCATATTATTTGAAGTACCATGAGATAAGATATACTTTTGTTCGTGCTTGATGTATGTGTATATATTGTTTTTTCTAAATACTTATATCTGGTATGTGTTAGCTATCACATTATTAGTGAATGTTCAGTTAAATTAAATAGACTTTTGTATTTAATGTAGATAGAAAGGATACTAAGACCGGGTTACTAAGGGAACATATTTCACTGGGGTGAAGAAATTCAAAACTCTTCAGAATGTAATCTTTGCCAACAAAATAAATACCTACTGTATTCAAATGTCTCGAGCTTGTAATTTTATTCTTACATTAAAATATTTTATAAAGAAAATTACTTATGTAATTATTCCATTTAATATACTGATGAGATCTCCATTTTTTTGAGATATATGTCTTTGATTCTGATTTCAGACAGGAGTCAAAGTCTTACTTCAAGAATCCATCTTTAACAAATTCCATTCTAAGCTTAAAGACCGTTTTAAACGATTGCGTGTAGGTTCTTGTATGGACAAGAATGTTGACAGTACCTTGGTTACTGAAACAGCTTCTAAAGAGTACTTGATCAAACTTGTAGATGCAGCACAGCTGGAAGGAGCAGAGGTATATATTGTAAAATAAATCTTTTGAGGTTTTTCCCTTGTAATGATTTTGTAAAATATTCTTTTCATAAGTATGATGAAATATGTTTCTTTAGTTTGCTTAGAAGAACTGAGGTATAAGCACCTCCCTCAAAGAATGTGTGGAGTAAACTAGCAATTAGGTAAAAGCAAAGCTATTAGTTTTTTCCACTTAAAATAGATCAAACTGTATTCACTGATCACCTGGATATACTTAATCCCAGTAACATCACACAAAGGTCAGACAGATAATTTATAAGTCTGCTAAATATTTGTGTTGCATGTAAGTCAACAATCCAAACTGTTTTAAATAAATTCATCAGAACAATATAATTGAAAAATAATTATTATCCACATATATATATTAAATTTTCTACATGGGCCCCATTTTTACTACTGTTTACATCATTATTTGTGAATTTTACTTGGTTTGTTACATTCCTGTATCCAGATTATAGCTGCCAGCTGCACTACTACTTGGACTAATTTACATATTTTGTACAAACTATAGTTGAGTATTAAGTGTTATTAACTGATAATTCCATCTATTATCAATTGTTTTCAGTTTGTCTTCTACATGTTATTTGCTGTATTTCATTATTTGAATTTTAATGATATATTAATGTATGCTTGTTAAATAAATAAAATAACTTCACAAGTCTTGATAAAAATAGTTTGATCCCTGATAAGGCAGCAGAGTAAGTTTCAACTCATAATACAGCATCTCACAAAAGTTTCAGTATACTTATGAATTACTGTATCTATCTATTTTACATTTAGTTATAAACAGTTGCTGGATCTATGAAGCTAATTTCTTTAAACAGATTAGCTCTCCTAAAACGTTTTTGTGTTGATAATCATGTGCATATCAACATTGGAAATGCACATACAAAAAATTATAGACCATGGAAAGTAAGCACTCAAAATGAATTTTATCATCATTTTTCTTGAACAGTGAAAATTTGTATTTACAGAGTTGAGTGTTAAACCTAAAAATGGCCTTATGTTGCTAGTGAGTTAAATACACAAAATCAAACATGCATAAAATTAATATAAATTAGATATGTCATAAAAACACTAGTTTACACAGAAATCAAATATAGAAGGGAAAATTGGATTTGTTTTTTGCTTTCTTCAGAGAAGACAAAAACACATGAACAAAAAAAACTGTTTCACGTTTTTACCATAGTGTATCTTTAACACAAACTTGTTTTTTATAAATTAGATTTGTTGATGTTTTTCAAGATTTATGTTTAACTTTTCCTGATTGTTTTTTAATTGTCAACCTGATACTGCAAGTCATCTTTTTTGTATTGTTTTATATGGACTTTTTAAATTTAAAAAATACTGTTGAGCAGTAATTTCTGGAACTTTGCATATTTAACAAATGGCTTACTTAAGAAAAGTTCTTTAAAAATAATCAGTCAAATAGTGAAATTACATTTCTATGTCACAGAAAAGTACCCATCACATTTCATTACCATTTAAAGAAGGAAATGTTGACTGATTATCTTCAAGATCATACAAACTTTCATTTCAAATATAACAAAACTTGTTTCAATGACTTCTAAAAACAAAACTAACTTAATCAATAACAGCTCATATAATAACTCTGCACCAAAAGTTGTTGTATTGCCAAATGAAGTGTACAATACATCATTTTATAAGTTTTTCCTTTTTAACTATGCCAAAGCCCTCTCAAGTTGATAGTTGTATAGTGACTAGGAATTTATGTAAATAAATAGGATGTAAGAATATTTTAGCAGCCTTTTATTTTTCTCTGCAAAAGTTTCATACAGTAGTCATCAAAAGTATGCTTGTAAATATTTTTTATTCGTAAGAAACACAGTTGTTGATTAGAACATTGAGAATTTTCATAACCTACAACGTTGCATTTTTTTAGATATTCCAAGTACATCCTGTGGGTGATTCTGGATTTCCACCAACATTAATAAGCAATGTCCAGACATCCTCTATATTAACCATAAAGGAGGTGAGTGAATTTCTAAAATTAAAATTGAATTTCTGTCCTTTGTGAATATTAACGAAATTTTTAACTTTTAGGTATGATTGAACTTTCAACCAGCTCTGATAGAATGTTAATTTTTATCTCAATAGTCAGTCATAAGTTAAGGTAAAAAAAAGGGGGGGGATTCATTTTGCTCCTTAGTTAGGAACTCTCATGTTTCCATTTTATTACTTTTTGATTACACTCTGGGTGGATTCCACCCAATCCATTTCCATCAAAGTAACCATAAAGCAGTTATAATGTAACTTTTTAAAATGTATGTGCATCTTCACGAACTTGTGCAGATTATCAATAAACATATCAAGGCTTTCTTACAAAAAAATATCAGATTTTTTAATTAATGATTTGCCTGTGGTTTTTTCTCTTTTCAAATGTTGGCTATCCAACATGTAAAGTAATTTTTGATTTTAAGATTTAAAATACTTTTATGCATCAGAAAATTGTCCAATTCCACATGTGAAAACTATAGTTTCCAGATAATTGTCAGATGTTTTATTTAGAAAAAATTTATATTTTATATGTTATATTCTCTATCTTATCTCTGTGTGGGTTTCGTCAATCTAACTGACCTCATAACCACTATAACAAAAATAGGAAATAGATCTCAATTATGCTTTTTTCATTTTAGAATGACTACAAATTATAACACCAAACCACAATTGTTTATTCTAAATAGCTTGAATCTCGTAACATTATACATCTGTATATATTTATTATTTTTATTTTACTGACCTTTCATCCATATCTGACTAACATCACAGGTGTTGCATTCAGGCACATGCAGCTTTATGTTACCGTATCCAAGAGTATAAAATTGGCCTGTGCAAAGTGCTACTGTCTTAGCTTTGTTATAGTGGACCAGTATTTTGTAGGATACAATCACATTTCAATTATAATAAATTATAAATGGATATATATATATATATATATTATTATTATTACTACTTACAGATAAATTCTTAAATTTCCGTTATTTTTTTTAAAATGTAGAAAATGATGATCTCTTCTACTTACGAAATTTGTATTAATTTGCCGTAATTTGTTAAGCCGTGTCAAATTTTGCACGTGAAATATGTAAAACAACATATTTTTTTAAGGTTTTATACATGGATTTTGAAATAACAAAAAATCATAAATTACAATATCAATGCCACAGAATTCCACCATAATTTATCAGGCTTACTGACTAAGCTTTATTTGGGTCTAAAAAATATAATTTTTAGATCACCATTCCATCTTATCTCTTATCTGCGAGTCTACAATGAAAATGATAGTTTTTCCCTCAAAAATACTTTGCAAAGGCTGAGAAAACCATGTGGGGGGGAAATTCTGATCTTTTGATTGGTTATAAACATGTCATAGAGCAAAGTAAGTGTATGTAAACAAGCATTACAGTAATACATTGCTATTTTTATAATAATAGTTTTTTAACATTATTATATTTTTCTATATTTTTTCTAATGAAGTCTGTTTGTCAGTTTGTTCCAGGTCCAATTCTCATCTTGCTTCCTTTTAGAACACCAAAAGAAGCTATTGCCCTTGCAAATAATAGTTTGTCTGGTCTCTCAGCAAGTGTGTGGACAGAAAAGATATCTCTTGCTTTAGAAGTTTCACGTTATCTTAAGGTTGGAACTGTATGGATCAATAGTCAAAACATGCTCGATGCTGCAGCTGGATTTGGTGGTTGCCGTGAGAGTGGGTATAGTCGAACAGGAGGAATGGAGGTATAAATTTCATATTTAACCAGATTTTATCATTGCAAAGAAAAATCTTTCAACTTTAATGAAAAGCACAGACCTTACAGTTGGTAACATACTACATATGCTGTAATTTTTGCAAAAATTATTTATGGTAATTTTTTTTTTCGTATTTAAGAACTGACTGTTAGATTGTGTGACCAGGTGCTTGTGTGTGTATACATTTAAACAAACAGTTTTAGGGCATTCGTGGTGAGCAATGTCATTTTTTGAAGGGATATCTGTATATGCTAATAAAACAGTTTACAATTTTATCATTTAGGACATAACAAAAAACACTTGATTGACTTTATTTGACTATGATTGATCAAGTGTATTTTTAGAGTTAGCGACTGAACAATTCATAAACTATGAATTTGTTTATATTAAGAATAAAACTTAATAGCTCTCTATCCAAGAATAATCATTCAAGTTTTTAGGAATTGTTTGATAAAATTAATGATGTCTAATAGGAATACTGATCAATTGTCTGTGTTAAAGGGTTTAATGGAGTTCATGAAGCCAAACTGGCAAATCAGTTTTAATAATGGAGGACAAGTTGACCAGAAATTTGGCCAGGCATCTATAAATAAAGATTTACTACCATCATTTCAACCTGATGAAACTACTTTTAAACTGGGGTAAGTTTGTTTTCAGACATATCTGATGTTGCATGTGGGTAGGCTTGTTTGAACATTTAGTCCTCTATCACTACAAACACCTGGATGATGTTTTTTCAACCTTAAAATAAATTTCTTCATGTTTTTTGTTGTTTTTAATAAGAAGTAATATAACTGTTATTTTTTCCATTCCTGTTTGTATATGTGGGTTTGTTTTATTCAATGATAAGAAATCCTCCTTCGTAACAAGATCTGGATGATTAGTGGCATTTGCTAATTGATTAATTCTTGGGCTCCTTAATCATTTACTTTCAATTAATTAATTTGAACATGCCCCTAACCCCCCACCCTCATTCCAATTACATTCAATTAATCAGTTAGCCCTTTCGAGATGGGTCACACGTGAAAGACCATGTCATCTTGTTTGTTGACTCGTATTCAAAATTTTATTGAACTACTATTTCATGAATTTATGTAAATAAGTTTGGTATCAAACTGTAGATTATAATTCAAATTTTAGTACTATATATTACTCAATTACTTAATTTAAAAGCAAATATTAAAGAAATACTGATAAACATTGATTTTTGTGTGTCATGTGGTATGTTGAATGCAACACTTGTTCAGCTTAGATGTTTGTGAAGTCAAAATACTAAATCCGTAGTTTCAAATGAATTAGAAACTCAAATTACCGATATTGACAAGGTAGAATATAAATTTTTTTCAATTTGCCAAGATATTTCTCATGTCATAAATCAAACACAGTGGCACCCCACTCACCTCTTTCCATTTATGGAAATGCTCCCTTATATACACTTACTTCTATATGACATGAATAACTAGTCAGAAGCTCAAAATGTCCCCCTAGTGGCTTTTTCAGCCATTTTAACAGACTTTGCACCATTTCTTTCTTTTGAACCAATATTTCAATGAGATAGGGTGTCTTTAGTCTGCTCGAAATTTCATATTTTTATAGACTAAAATACATCTTAGTTACTAAGCTTTATAAATCATAGTGGAATTCTGTGGTATTAATGTAGTAATTTACAAGTTTTTAGTTATTCAAATTTATATATAAAACCTAAAAAAATATTTTGTTTCATATCCTCCATGTAATGGATACGGTAACATGAGTGTACGTGAAGCGCATCATTGTAACTTCTGTATTGTTAGCCAGGCATGGCTGAAAGGTCAATATAATAAAAAATAATAAATATATATAAATGTATAATGTTATGAGATTTAAGCTATTTCATCTGAACCTTTATGTTTTCATGTTGTAATTTATTATCATTCTAGAATAAAAGAATGAAATTTATATTTATTTCCTAATTTTTTATGGTAGTTGCAAGATCGGTCAAATCTACCGAACCCGTACAGAGATTAATTACTGAAAATAACAGATAAAATATAAAAGTTTTTCTTAAGAAACATTTGGTAACCTCAACATTATAAAGATTTCACACGTGAAGATTTCTGATGCATAAAAGTATTTTTAATCTTTAAATGAAAATTACTTTGCATGATAGTTAGGCAACTTACGAAAAGAAAAAAAGACATGAGAAAACATTGCTTTATAAACCTTGAGACTTAATAAACAAATTTAGATATTTTGTGTATGAAAGAATTCTAATATTTACT